CTCGGCTTGTCCTGGACTTGACAAAGTCATGAAGTCCAGGATGTCCAATGAGACAAAGTCTCGAGACAAACAATTGGCGCGCCTGCAAAGCTTGGGCCTGGACGCCGTTGGTCCCCTAACTCGAGTGTTGGAGGGAGCAGAGAGTGGGGATATCTCTGCTTGCGAGATATTGGAGGCTGTACAGTCAGCAGTCAAACTCCTCGGGAATTTTTCGGCCCAATGTAATCGGGAACGCCGTCAAATTGCCCTCTCTAGTCTGAACCCCCGCATTGCGGATATGGCTGAGGACGACTCCATTTTTACCGAAGCCCGTCAACATTTGTTTGGCGACGGCTTTTATAAGAAGGCGAAGGAGCGTGATGACGAGATGCGGGTGCTGAACAGCGTTGCAGCCAGCAAGACCCATACCCAGTCAGCTCCTGCCAAGAAACCGAGCGGTTTCAAGAGCCACCAGCCGGTTTTTCACCGGGACTCCCGCAATTCCCGTGGAGGATTCAGGGGACGAGGACGGTACCAGCCTTACGCAGGCAATTCGAGCTTCAGCCACGGCAGCAGCAAGAAGTCCTCGGACTCTGCCAAGTGACATCCAGCTCCAACAAGTCCAAGTCCAGCACACGAGCATCAGCGGGACCAGAAGTGCCTCCTCATGAATCATTTGAAAGAAATAAAATTTCTTCCAAATATGTCTCAATCTCCGCTTATGGTGTGCCTGAAGGACTTGGGTTTTGTGGACATGGCTCAAAGCATAGCCTTGCAGAGTCCTCCCCCTGCAGGGAAGATACAACTTTTCATTGTTGTTGTTGTTTGGCTTTATTCATTCAAAATTGGAAAGTTCTCACATCCGACCGTTGGGTACAGGATTGTGTGCAAGGGTATGCAATAGATTGGATTGCTCAACCCCATCAAGTGAAACCGCCCCACGAAATAGTCTTTTCCGGGGAAGAGATGAACTGTCTTTCACTAGAAGTGCAAAAGATGGTAGAGAAACATGCTGTTACGGAAGTACAGATGAAGAAACAAGAGAAAGAATTCATTTCTCAGTTGTTTGCAGTCCCGAAGAAGGACGGGGGTGTGAGACCAATAATAAATCTGAAGAGTCTCAACACCTTTGTGAGGAAAGTTTCCTTCAAGATGGAAGGAATTCACACTCTCAAAGACCTGCTAAAGCAGGGCGACTGGATGACGAAAGTCGATCTAAAGGACGCTTACTTTGCGATCCCGATAACGCCGGAACACACATCCTACCTGAAATTTCAGTGGATGGGAAAGACGTACCGGTTCAACTGCCTACCTTTCGGTCTGTCGTCGGCTCCATGGGTCTTTACCAAGACCACGAAGCCAATAATGGTTTTTCTCAGGACACTCGGACTGAGAGTAATCATCTACATAGACGATATTCTGATTCTGGCAGAAAGCGAAGAGAAAGCTCGTCAACACACAATGTGCCTGATCTTTCTACTCGAAAACTTGGGTTTCACAGTAAACCAAACCAAATCCCAAGTGATTCCAACCCAGGAGACAGAATTCCTCGGGTTGACAGTGAACTCCGCAACGATGGAGCTGAAGTTACCCTCAGACAAGATCAAGAAGATCAAGTCCGAGGCGAAAAGTCTACTGCAAGCAGATGCCTTGACGGCGTTGGCAGTTTCCAGATTTCTGGGCAAACTGAACCATGCGGCCCAAGCAATCGCTGCGGCACCATTGTTTTACAGACACCTGCAGAGGTGTCTACAAGTGTCTCTCGAGGAGGGGAATCAAGAGTACTCCCATCCTTGCCATCTGTCACCAGATGCCAGAGAGGAACTGACATGGTGGACGGATCACCTGTCTCACAAGAACGGGAAACAACTCCTGTTGGCGAAGCCGGACATGGTGATAGAGACAGATGCATCCACAATAGGCTGGGGAGCATCTTTCAACAATGTTCGAACAGGCGGACCATGGTCCCCACAGGAACGACACATGCACATCAACTGCCTGGAATTACTGGCGGCATCCCTTGCGATCAAGAGCTATGCCAAGGATGCTACAGATGTTGTGATCCATCTAAAGATGGACAACACGACTGCCCTGACTTACATCAACAAACTGGGAGGAACCGTATCACCGGAACTCAACCGGTTGACGAAAGAGCTCTGGGTGTGGTGCTTTCAGAGGAATATCACTCTCAAAGCCTCTCATCTCGCGGGTTCGTTGAATGTGATTGCCGACGAGGAATCCCGAGTGATGAAAGACAGATCGGACTGGATGCTATGCCCGAAAATCTTTCAAAGGATAAACTCGAGATTCGGCCCACTGGATGTGGACCTCTTTGCCTCTCGACTGTCCCATCAACTCCCACAGTATGTGAGTTGGAGACCCGACCCAGTAGCAATAGCCACAGATGCCTTCACAATGAACTGGAAAGTTTCGAACGGCTATGCCAACCCACCTTGGAACTTGATAGGCAAAGTCCTGCAACAAGTCCAACAACAGAATGCAGAGATTGTGCTTGTGGCACCGGTATGGCCGGGCCAAGTGTGGTATCCAATGCTATTGGACATGCTGATCCAAGAGCCTTGCCTCATAACGAGCTCCAGAAGCCCGATCCAACCAACTCACCCAGTCAACGAACCGGAGATAAACCCACCCCTAGCCGTGTGGAATATCTCAGGTCAAGATACTCAGCAGAGAACCTTTCGGGAGAGGCTTCAAAACTTCTCCTCGCATCTTGGAGACAGAAGTCTGCAAAAACTTATGATTCCCTCTTTAAGAAATGGGCATGCTGGTGTGTCGAAAGGGACATTGATCCCATTTCGGGAGATATAGCCGGCGTGGTTAACTTCTTGGCTTCTCTTTATCAGAATAAGTACCAGTATAGGTCCTTGTGTAATTATCGATCTGCAATATCATCTATCCACGACAAAGTTGATGGATACGAAGTGGGATCACACCCAATGGTAAGCAGACTACTGAAGGGCGTCTTCCATGAAAGACCACCCCAACCTAGGTACTCCTCAACGTGGGACGTATCAAAGGTCACAACATACCTGGTCTCACTAGGTCAGAACGAGCAAATGTCCCTCCAGGATATAACGTTCAAAATCACGATGCTGTTGGCCCTCACTAGGCCATCGAGATCGGTGGATCTTGTGAACCTTGATATAAGGTTCAGGCAGTTTAGCCCGGAGGGCGTAACATTTCACCCGACAAAACTGGCAAAGCAGTCCAGGCAGAACAAGAAGATTACAGAGTTCTTCTTCCCAGCATTTAAGGACAATGCACTATTGTGTCCTGTGCAAACATTGAAGGACTACGAAAGTAGGACCTTGGCGAATCGAGCTGATGATGAAAAGCAAGCTCAACTCCTGATTGCTACAATACAACCCTACAAAGCGGTGTCATCATCGACCGTAGCCAGATGGATTAAAACAGTTCTGGCGAAGGCCGGAATCGATACGGATATCTTCAAAGCGCACTCGGTGCGAAGTGCTGCAACTTCAGCTGCAGCAGACGCTGGGGTCACAACGACCGATATCCTCTCTGCAGCAGATTGGAGCAGTGAGAGTATCTTCCAAAAGTTCTACTACAAGCCTCAGAAGAACAACACCTTCGGGAAGGCTGTCCTGTCTACCAAGCTGTCGACCACTGACAAGCTACAAAATCACGTTGATATGGAGACAGAGCATTCTGAAATATAATTACAGAATGGCTCAGACCACGCAGTGGTCGCCAGCTATTCTGGATTATATGAAGAATGTGATGTCGAACATATCAACGTCCCTTCCCTCCCACCCGTCTACGTTGATATTGGGACAATGCACTTGTTAGAGGCTCGCTATCAAAGGCCGAAGAGCAAGTGTGGAACGGACAGTTTTGACAACAAAAAAATGTGCGCTTTCCAAGATGCCAAAGGGCATGCGCACAAAATAAAACACAAAATTCACATAAAACATGTAAAATACACTACAAACTAGCTGTCAAGTTAGAGAATTAGGCCAAACACGTTGATATGTTCGACATCACATTCTTCATATAATCCAGAATAGCTGGCGACCACTGCGTGGTCTGAGCCATTCTGTAATTATGACTGGAAAATTCAGTGGAAATCATGCCATACGTTGGTCCTGGTTAGAGTGGCCTTCTGAGACAGGTCGCCTTATCCGAGTGGTCGCGTTGACAGGTTTTACTATACAACCATGCAGCACACAGCCTGAAGGCCACAATAGCCACCAGGGAATAGTACATAGTAGATCTACTCCTTGATCTGTTGATAGCCACAGTGCCTGAAGCGTGGCTGGTGTAACGGTTAGCATTGCTGCCTTCCAAGCAGTTGATTCTGGGCTCCGTCAGTCAACGGTCAGTTGCATCTCTGAGATGCACGTTCGCATTGTAGCGGTGATCAGGCAACATTTTTCTCCAATCGCTCAGCGCCCTTGCCATTCTAGGCATGAATGCAGGGATTGCAGGCTGATGTCCACAAACAACCAGTGCGACTACACTTCAGTCTCCCAGCGTTAAGTGTACTACAGTACCTCGAGATGCGCCCACCGCAGGCGCTAACAATGGCGACTCAGTAGCTAGCTGATGAAGACGGACGGATCTCAATCCCACTCCCTGAGCCATGTTTTCAACTACCCTGGAACATTGCTGTAAGTTGGATATGCGTTTCCTAGACTTTGCACACTCCAACACAACCATACCACTTAGTAGACGGTTTGTTGGAGGAAGACACACTGTACTAGCATACACAGTACAGAATCCACTGGAAATCCGATGAGGCCTTTCACAATCAAAATAACGTTACTTTATCCTCAAAATCGATACATTTGTGAGCTCATTGGAATTTCCAGTGGCGTCTGTGTTTCGAGCGCTACATTACTCAGTCTCACCGGTGACCACACACACGCACACACGCATGGAAACACACACACACGCACGCACACACACACACACACACACACACACACACACACACACACACACACGCATGTACACAAAATGGTCTCTTTTACTTCTAGTATATCTCTATATTCACTCCGCAGATTGAGTCTCAAGACTCACTAAATAATATTTAAAATACTCGGATCTGGCCAATCTTGGCGTGAGAAACTAAACTTTTTTAAGGTTAACAAACAGCAAAGCAATGGCGTAGATAGAATGTGAGGTACATTCAAAAAGTGATGAGATAATGAAGGTGAGACTGGTGTGTATGTCAAGCGACTTTTACAAGCACATTCTTTGACTAAAGAACATGTCAGGTATATTACAATTTACAAAAGCAGTGTACAAAGTAGAATTGTATGTGATTTCTGGCCAGTACACGCACGCACACACGCACGCGCGCGCACACACACGCATACATACACACACACACACACACACGCGCACACACACACACACACACACACACCTGTCCTGTCCTGAACATTGCCGTAAAACGGTCACATGTACCCTCATACGAGGGGCCGACAGACAGACAGACACACACACCCACACACATACACACACGCGTTTTAAAACACAGAGCTACTTATTTCCCTCACAAGAATCCATAATAGTCTTCATGCTTCTCGTAGCAGATGAGCATCGGTACCTGATGAAACGGACAGGTGGAACCGTAATGGACGTCTGGACCATCACCAAGCATGAACAGGTCACACATCATTTTCATTTGCCACTTGATGCTCGCAAACGTCGGCCGCTCGTCGGGTGACATCTTCCACATCGTCTTCATCATGTCAAACGTGTTTCGCCGACACTCGCTGGGGCGTTTCAAGCGCTTGCCCGACTCCAGAAAGCCGAGCAGGGCTGTTACTCTACTGCCAGCCTGACCCGAATCCAGGCCGGGGATTCCGAGCGATTTGTACGGCTCCTCACCGTAGGAAAACACTTCCCACAGGAGCACGCCGAAACTCCACACGTCCGATTTGGACGAGGCGATCTGCTCAAACGCCTCCGGAGCACTCCACAATAGTGGTACCATACCCTCCTCGTCCCACACCTTACTCGCAAAGACGTAGTTGGCGCCATCGCTGCATTGCGTTTCCGGCGCCAGCTTGGTCAAGCTGCGTGTCAGCCCGAAGTCGCATATCTTGCAGGTGTGGCTGGACGTCACCAGCACATTGCGTGCAGCCAGGTCGCGATGCACGATGCCGCGTTCTTCCAGGTACTGCATTCCGCCGGCGATGCCTTCGCACATCGCGTACGGTCGCTCGTCGAACTCCAGGTCCGCCTGCCCCTCCATATTGGACATGTACTCTCTCAAATCGCCCAGCTCCGCTAACTCCATAACAATGTACGGCAGGCCATGGTACGTCAGCATGTGGTGGACACGGATGATGTTGGGATGGTTCAAACCCTTCACCAGTTTGCCCTCCTCGCGGAAAGACTTCCTCCACTCTGGACACTTGCCGAGCCTCCTGTGTGGAACCTTGACGGCAACGTGTGGCTCCTTCCACACTGCGGCATCCCTCTCGCCTGTCCATTTGGCAGCCCACACGTCACCGAACGCACCACTTCCGATTTTTTCGTTCATCTCCAGCGCTGGCAGTCTGGGGGCTTTGGACGAAGATTCAGAATTTTCTGTGGAAGAAGATGCAGAGCTCTCTGCCACTGACGACGTAGCCGACTCTGGGTAACGACTGGCCATCCTCAGTGCCGTAAAACAAACGTGCTGATGGTTTTACTTGCTTCAAAGCAGGGATTCCTACAAATGTAGCCCCACTGCACTTCGAACTTCACTTCTTCAAAAGCCTTTTTTCTCTATCTTGTTGCTTTTTGATCCATTGTTGTAGTTTCATGGGGGTGACGCCTCCTTGGCGCTCCCTACTGCCTGACTCGACTTGTACAAAAATGCAAAGCTTCTGATTTTTACTTGTCTGCACGATGGATCTATAAAATAATTGTTGGTTGATAACACCAAGGGGGGGTTTATACTCTTGATAACATGGGGGCTGATATACTCTTGGTACAGGAGCAGGGAGTCGTAAAATACCGTATTTTACGACTCCCTGATCAAGAGTGCATTATGCAACAGCTGGTTTGTTTATGGACTTTTGGTTGAACAGAAACACAACCAAAATAATTACTTCAAGTATTACAAAACACTTTTTTTACACTACTCCAGCTCCATGGCCTAGCTTGACTTAAAAGAGTCTCATACACATGATACCAAGACCAGGGTTATGTACTCTTGATGATACCAAGAGTACATAACCTGATAACCCCCCCCCCCCCCCCACACACACGTACTCTTGATGATACATGTAGGGGCCAAAAGTCTGGCGTAGGTACTGGTTCTTCCCTTGCATTCGAAGATCGTAGAGTCGTGCGTGTACATGTACTCCTATACATGTATGTAACCAGGGCATACAGGCACAGTAGAATCAATAATTATTGAATCATGCACAATGTACCATAATGTGTTGGTCTGGAATCATTATCTTCCCCGTTTCGAAAAACCATTACGAAACATTGTTACTGAATGCCGAAATCTCACATTCCAATCCTACGAACTCAGCGTATGCCTCAAAAGAGTCGCAAGAAGACAAACGAGGACGCACGCACACTGTAACCAGTTACCTCCGTGATAAACACGCACACGCACACACACACACACACACACACACCTGCACATGCTCTCACAATATAGCACAGTCACCAGTGGTCACAGCAGCAAGTAAAAGCTAGTTACGTCAGTGCTTGAGACTACTAAATTTTCATGATCTGACCAATAACAATTTGAAAGTACATAGAAACAAGAGTATGAGTAGATAAAACACGTTCAGAGCATTGAGAATAGGCTGAATTAAATAAATCTGTTAAATCCACCGGGTATTTGAAATTACAGACGCAGACACGAGTTGCCATAGTAACGACAATAATAATAGTTATTATTATAAATAGGGAAAGCACGCCGCAAAGGCGACATCGACAGGAGGCCGAGGGCAGCGGGGTGGGCATAACTAACAAAACAATACCCAAATAGGAGCAAGTTAGGAATAAGAATTGGAAAATACTCGGATGCACACAACGACAAGATGGAACATTGGCACAGTCCCGTACAAAAACAAAACAGCCGTTCAGTCCAGGGTAGAGAAAGAGAGCGGACCCGAGAAGGCAAGAGCACGAATAATAACAACATATAACGGGCTGGTCTGTGTGCGCAGAGCAGACGCATGGGAAATCGCAGCCACTGCGACAGGGACTGCGTAGCTTGCGTTACACCACCAGCAAACAGGAACGACAGCGAGCACATTCGCTGGACTGAGCAAACCAATCACCGACTCTGGAGAAGGGGGTCGCATCGCCACCACCCGGCGTAACGCCGTTATGTGCACTTCAAGCATAGCAAGTGTTTAGACTCAAGAAAGAGACAGCAGAATATCCAGAACCACAACCAGGAAAGCAACACACACACACTTGGCTGGCAGCTGTAGGCGTGACACGCTTGTTTCTGCCACGGCACAACAATGGCGGGAGGCCGGCACGGTTGCGGGTAGAGTCTTAGAGAGGCTGACAGAACCAGAACGAGCAAACAACGAGATACGGCGCAGCAACAGCAGTGACTCGCGTCATCAAATGCCAGTAAAGCTAGGACAAAAATCTTCTGAAGACTTCAAAAAATAGAAGATCACAACACTGAAATGCGAAGACTACACAAAATAGACCCAAATTCCCTCTCTCCAAATTCTTGCAGCCTATTAATAATTATAGAGCAAATTCGTAGTTCGAAAAAGGACACACCAGCGGAATTTGTACCGTTCCGTAAATACAACACTAATTCATTCAAAAGGCAGACCAAACAAAAGGCTGCAATTAAGCAGCTGGACAGTATGATCACAAAGACCCACTTGCTACGTTTCCATGGCGAAATTACCAATCTCTCTCTCTCACACGTACACACACACACGCACAGAGTTTTGTACACTACAATCCAGGCGGGAAAGGCGAACAGGGGAAGTCCCTGTTGGCGGTGGGGAAGTCCCTGTTGACAGCGGGGAAATCCCTGTTGGTGGCGGGGAAGTCATTGTTGACAGCGGGGGAATCCCTGTTGGTGGTGAGAGGCTGATGATGCACGTTACAGATATGCTGGTGGTAAGCGCACAAATAGCAAGCGCGGTGCCGACTACAGCGCACACACGTACACACACACCGCAGATGCCATTGTCCAGACAAAAAGACGACTCGGCGTGGCACCAGGAGCGGTCAACTACCAAGCGAGCGATCGCGTGACCAAGAGGAGGTGCAGCAGCGACACACACACACGCTCAGTCACGCTGTGACACCCATCAAGCGACGATCCTGACAAACGACACCCGTCAAGCGGCAATGCTGACACACGACACAGGCCGTAAACAGGAAACCAGACGAGACAAGAACGTCACAGCTCTGGACAGCCGGACAGTTGATGCAAAAACAAGCGGTCCCGATTGTGCCACAGATCCATCAAGCAGCAGCATCACTTGTGCCACACAAAGGCATGCAATAACATGAAAACACACGAGGCAAAGCTGCATCATGGCTTTCCAGTTGATCCTAATCACCAGTGGCTCATTCCGATGAGCTTGAAGGATCGTCGGAAAAAGCCAGCGTTGGAACCGACCGGGTGATCGTCTCGCCGCAGCTCACCAGTCAGATCTCGCGGCAATCTCTGCAGTACTCTGGCGAACTCACGGTCAAACTTGACTGTGGTAGAAAGACAACAGAACACACGCAAACACGCAAACACACGCATGCAGGTTTAGATACCGTGTATGTATCGCAATGTACTACCAGGGTACCCCCCTCTCACAAGTGTTTGATTTACAGACAGGGAAAGTAAAATCGCATGGCCGACTGCGTGCAGTGTGTGTCATGTTCCTACACAGAATGCACTGCAGACACTCGTTCGTGTGTGTGTGTGTGTGTGTGTAGTGTGTGCCGTGTTCCTATACAGAATGCACTATACTTGCATTTTGGACTCTCATACTATAAGTCAACCAATATTCGGCGCATATGTTATTTTCGGCTATTTTTGGCCTGTTTGGCCGAAAATTTGTTGCGGTCGAAATTTAGTTTTGCAAGGTTCAGTGTGACAGTGTGTATACTGCATAGCAGGAAATTTTCGGACGGAAGTATTTTCGGACAAAGCCGAATTTCGACCTTTCGTACGGATTTTATTTTCGTACAGTGCTGCATGCTAAATGCACGTGTTCGCATGTGGTACGCATGTATAGTACTGTATATATTATTTCACAGGATCTAGGAACAAATTTTAGTACGGAATTAATTTTAGTACAAAAGAGGCGGTGTACGAAATCGTACGAAAATAAATTCCGTCCGAAAATTTCCTGCTATACAGTACATGCGGCAACAGTACAGGCTGAAAATTTGATGCGGCCGAAATGGGTTTTAGCCCTGGAAGGCAGAAATTTGAATGGGCCGAAATGGGTTTTAGAAGGCAGAAATTTGAATGGGCCGAAATGGGCTTTAGCAAGAGTAGATAAACAAGAGTGTGCAACTCCGGGATTGGTTGGCCCGCGGCGGAATTTTTTGTTGACGTAATCTTTTCGACGATGCACGCGCTGCGAGTCTTTTTGGAAAGTTTTGCCTCGTGCACTTGGCCGGGCTTTACATTACAAAGTCGGTGCCCAGCACGTGCTCTCACACTGCTCTGGGGCAAAATGCGCGTTCTTCTGAAAAAAGGTGACGTCAACAAAAAATTCCGCCACGGGCGGGGGTATCTGCAGATTGTGCAGCAGAGATCCGGAGTTGCACACTCTTGTTCATCTACTCTTGGTTTTAGCCCTGGAAGGCAGAAATTCGAATGGGCTGAAAATTTGTACACTTACAGTATGGAGTGCATATACATGAATATTTGCATCAATGCATGAATATTTACATCAATGCAGTGCAGTGTGTGCCAATAGTCCAATGCTACAGCAAGTTTACACAGGCGGTGACACTACTTACCAATATCAATGGTGGCTGGACTGACAGTCATCAACAGTAGCAGTATGTCCCAGTACAGGCCACTAAAGAGGATACGGAAGTACATACAGATGCACACACAAAGACGTACACGTACGCATGCGCGCGCACACACACACACACATACACACACATGCACACACGCACGCACACACATACACCCCCCCCCCCCCCCACACACACACACAAACAGGCAGACACCCATGCAGATACAAAGCAGTTAGATGGACAAGTTTTTTGTAAAGCATAGCATATGACTGGCATCCGTACGCACTTTTCACCGGAGCAGGTGACTGCACATGCTCTAACACTGTACAGTGAGACCTGTCTAAGACGACCGCTCAAGGGACCTTCAAAACGCGGTCTCCTTACCCAGGGTCACTTGGCTGGAAATAGCATCCCTTGGTGCTGGTTGCAGTGGTCCTCTAGGACAGGTGGTCGCCTTATCCGAGTGGTCGCCTTGCCAGATTTTACTGTAATTATTATAGGAACTAGGCTGGAGGACATGCGTGCCGCTGCGTGCGTGCCGCTGCGTGTGTCCCTCCCCCCCCCCCTCTCTGGTGGATGCGTCTTGCTTGAGAGAACACACAGTGCCTTGGCAAAAAAGGATTGCAAAAGCAAAGCTGCCTTTCAAGTTTGTTGTTTCGTTACCAGCTGGAATTTCAGCGCTCGGCAACAGTGTCGGTGTAGCAGTAAGCACTGGCAGAGTACTATAAATGCACCAGAACAGAACATTAGGGTATAGCAGCGGGGCTTACCGGAAATCTCCCGGTCCATGGGGAATCTGCTGTGATGATGACTTGGCACGTTTCCATGCAATGCGTTCCTTGAGCAGTGCAGTGACACATGCTGCGTATTCGGCACACTGTAGCCGAGCTGTCAGTGACTGCAGCTGACTGTAGGCACGAATGCAGAAAACACACACAAACGTAGGCATGGCAGTGCGCGTGCACACACACACACACAAGAACGCACATGAACACACACGGACACACACACACACACGGACACACACACGCACACACAACACAGACGAGCGTGAATATCCTGCAAGAACAAGACTGCACAGGCACATAGTACCTCATTGCATGGACCACTAGTACAGTAATGAATCATGAAATTTATTTATCGTACAAGGCTGCTCAATGAAATCCAATCATGCAAGTCAAGTATGCGCCGGGCAGTGTGCAGCCCTAGGCTTTCGAATACAGTGGTCCCATTACAATCCAGCACCAGCTGTGCGAAAGGAAATTCTTCTGGATTACGGAGGGTGCTGGATTAACACATCTGATTTACTGGTCAAGGGCAAGGTCAAGGTCAAGGTGTGTGTGTGTGTGTGTGTGTGTGTGTGTGTGCGTGTGTGTGTGTATACGTGTGTGTGTGTGTGTGTGTGTGTGTGTGTGTGTATACGTGTGTGTGTGTGTGTGTGTGTGTGTGTGTATGCGTGTGTGTGTGTATGCGTGTGTGTGTGTGTACACATACCCTGCAATGGCATCATTGGTGGCTGGATGCACAGGACTGGGAGAGCTGCTACCTCGGTGTAACCACTGCTTGTAGAGTGCTACGGGTGTCTCCTCCATGTCTTCCTTGTGCCACGATGTACTCAGCGACACGTCACCCACTTGGACCAAGTGAGACTGTGTGTACATATGCACACATATGCATGCATGCACATACGCATGCACCCACGCACGTACTCACACACACACACACACACGCAAACACACGCGTACGGACACACGTGTACGGACACCCACCCACCCACCCATACACACACACACACGCACACACATGTAAACACACAAGCAAGCACACAAACAAACACACATTCGCAAATCGATAAACATTCAAAAGCAGAAGAGCACATTCCTGCCTGTGAATGTGCACATCAAAAGAGAAGGATGATTCAGCGAGAGAAGGATGAGATATTTCCAGGGCACTGCACAAGCAGGTTCTGGCTCTGGCTACACACAAACGAAACAAGATCCTCTGAGCGCTAGCACTTGTACAGGCACAGGTCATTTTTGACCCTCACACTATCTGCAATCACACTACATGTACATACAGTCAACTTTGAGTATAACAACCCTCGGCGGGGCATCAGAAAAGTGTCCTTATTCGCGAAGTGTCGTTATACCCGATGTCTCACTATATGTATTACAGTTAGATGGGATTTTGCTCTAGGCATGGGAATTCTGCCGTTATTTGTGAATAGTCGTTATATCCGCAGTCGTTATTAGCAAAGTTGACTGTATACCGGTATGTGCAATCACACAGCACACCGCACCGCAACACTAACCTTGGGCAGTTCACTATCAAGCAATAGATTGGTGAGGAAGGAGGGCAGTCCCAGGCGATCAAAGTACCAGAGCAGGTTCCAGTAGATGATGGGGTGTTGATCGACCAGCACAGACTTGGACAGTATACTGGAGTCCTGATCAAGCAGCGTCTCCACTTCCTTGCGCAGCAACAGCGGGCTCAGATAGGGAACGGATATCTCCGGCAGCTGCATGCACACACGGGTGGTAGTCAGAGCAGAAACGGGGAGAAACACTATCAATATTCCACCCTATCAGCCACTTCCTAACTCACTCACTCACTGCACACAAATACAGAACTACTTTGTATGCGTACCCTATGATCGCCAATTCCTCACTAACTCACCGAACACAAGTACGGAACTACTTTGTATGCGCACCCTATGACCGCCACATCCTCACTCACTCACCGAACACAAATAGAGTGTAGTAGCTCCACTGGTGGCTGTGGGCGACAGGTCAATCCTGCGAACGCGCCGAAATCTCTCCTCCAGCTCATCCTCAGAAAGCGGCACTTGCTGCGGTGTTGTGAGATACACGCTATTCAGCTGTTCCAGTACAAGAGAGCAGAGAAAACAAACAAGCAAAACATAGAAATATAGAACAATGGCAGGGGGGAATGGCCTTCCGTCTGATTGTACGGGGGTCACATTGGAGTAGTGGCTAAGCTTGTAACCATCACAAGCAAATGTGATAGCTGAATTTGTAACCATCACAAGTGAGTGCACTGTACATGTATCAGTGTGTGTGTGTGTGGGGGGGGGGGGGGGGGGGGGCACAGCAGACACGTGCACATAGTTGTGCCACTTCCATGGCGTCAAGGGCCGTGCAAGTTGAGGGCTGCGCCCAGTATGCACTCTGGATTGGACTTCACCGAGCGCAAAGGTAGTAAGAATAGCACTCAACACAGCCATTGCCGGGCCGTTATAATGAAAAAAGGTCATTTGTCGGAGCACGAGCAATACAGAGACTTAGCTACACGTGACCTCACCTCGATTGTAATACTCAGGAAGGCGATGAAGTGTTTTGAACAATACGGACAACTGTAAAAACGGGAAAAAAACAACAACACATACACAATAAAACAATACAGAAAATCACACGGATAGGGGGGGGGGGGGGCAACTTTGCACTCAGCAAGCCTGGTGCTGTTTTTATTTATTTTTATCTTTTCGCTCCCAGAGATTCCTACAGTATGTCCACACCTTTACAAGCCATGGAGGTATATTCGATTCTAAAGCCAGTCTCAGTTATAAAGCCATGGGCTTCATAAATAAAATGACATTTGAAGTATGTTGTGTAAAAATGAAGGAATAAGTATTATAATAACAAACTTACAGCCCAGCAGGAAGGGCGAACAAGTGGACTTAGATTGAAATTTCTGTGGACTTTGACCTTTATGGCATGGCGTAGTGGGTGAGTCATTTTGCATCTAAAATAGCTAGGAAAGCAGTGGTGTTTCGAATATAAGGCCATGGCTTTAAAGGCGCTGGCTGACATACGGTATGTACCGTGTGTATTGCCTTTGTATAAAACCCTGTCTTATATAGAAGCCCGATTTTCAAAATGCACTTTTAGCACATAACTTAAGCGTGGTTTTAGTGTAAGAGCAGACATAGGAAAAAAATGCCCGACTTTGGTTCCAACGATGACGAGTATATCTACATGTACCTAATGACTGCGTACATTACAATTACTCAGTATTATCCATAGCTACTTTAGAAACATAATCTCCTCATCGACTTTGATACATATTCAAGAATGGATGACGTTACCCATCGCTGAGCAAGTATTTCACACAAAGGAGGTATGCCTATTGCGCACAAAGGAGGCATGACTGGAAAATGCCGCAATGGGTAGCTGCTTACTTTGTGTTGAAGTCCGAGTCGTCGGCTTGCCAACCTGCCATGATCTGCTCGTCAAACACCAAGCACTCGCAGTGATGGCATCGCGTGCAGCTGGCCATGGTGGCAATGACTGAGTGAGCGCTGTGGTCCAGCTCCTCCTTGAGCGCCACAACCACGTGAGATACGTTGTTGGCGGTGTTGTCCGAGCCGTTGCTGGGTGTGCGTCGGTGCATGCCCAGGCGCGGCGAGAGGCCAGGCATCGAAGTGAGAGAACCGGATAGCGGAGGAGTCACACCCGCACCTGCAAATACACACATGCACACACACACACACACACACCACACACACAGCCCATAACGCACGGTACAAAAACACACAACCCACAACGCACGGTACATTACAAAACCAAACACGCCCTGCAGCGCTCAGTCTGCTCAAACTGGTCACCGGGCCAAAGCGCGACACGCGTACCTAACACATACCGTAATACAGGTAATTTTAGGTGTAGAAACATTTCGGTATCAGGGACCTGCCAGGTTTCAGGTGTGGGAGAAATCTGTGTGTTTGAGTGGAACCGGCTAGTGTTCGGCATAAAGCCCCCCCCCCCCCCCACACACACACCTGGCAGGCAAGGTGGTCAAGAAGACCCTGGAACACTTTGGTGATGGGTACTCTGCAGCAGCGGTGGAAGCCATCGACAAGTCCACGTACATTGACGACCTGCTGAGATTAGCTGCATCTGACGAAGCTGCGTGCGACACCCAGCAGCAAACGCAGTGTCTCCTAGCCCAGGGTGGATTCCACTTGCGGAAGTGGTTATCCAACAGTGCAGCCGTCATGGAGTCCATCCCGGAGGCCGATCGCGCCAAGGAAGCGGTGTTGAACTTGGGTGAGCGAGACGCTCACAGCTGCCTACCAACCGTGAAGACGCTCGGCGTCAGCTGGCATGCACAGTCAGACACATTCACCTTCCGCTACCAGCAGTCCAAGCAGAGCCCAACGAAGCGGTCAGTGCTGAGCAGGCTGTCGACGGTGTTTGACCCGAGAGGCCAGATCGCGCCATTCACGATAAGGGCACGTATTCTATTCCAGGACTTATGTCTACTCGGTGTTGGCTGGGATGAACAACTCCCTAGCGCGGAGGCGAAGAAATGGCAAGCCTGGTTCGGCGAGTTGCCAGCTCTCTCAGGAGTTCAGGCTCCACGCAGTTTCAAGGCACCAGACGCGGCAGAGAGCCAGCTGTCGGTCCACACCTTCGTCGACACATCCGATCGAGCTATCGCCGTGTCGGCATACGTGCGTGCTGTGGACGCTACCGGCAATGTGAGAGTGACTCTGGCAATGGCCAAGGCAAAGCCAGCTCCAATTCGCCGACAGACCATTCCTCAGCTAGAGCTACGTGGTGCAGTACTCTTTATCCGCGTGAGCCAGCACCTGGAGCAAGCCATCGGGCTACCCATTAGCCAACACACGTTCTGGACAGATTCTATGAATGTGCTTGGCTGGATCCGCAATCACAGCAGGCGGTACAAGATAGACACGCCAATCAGTTGCATTGTACTTATTTGGTTCGTTGCATTATCGCTATCCACGGCAACTCCGCTGCGATCTATTCTATGTTGTAGAGCATACTCTCGCTGACAGGGTGTGCTGTCACCCTGTCGCTGGTTGCAAGCACCCCCTGACAGACAACGTTTCACCTCCGTAATCTATTCTTCATCCTTTCACTTCAGTAGGTATTCGAATTCCTGTTTGTTCTGCATTCAAATAATCTGGCTCTTCTTTTCGTTGCACCTGCACCCAGCGCTGCACACGGACTTTGGCAGTCGCCATATTATTTATTTCCTTGGTAACGCTCGATGACTCATGCATGTCCTGCCACTGCTGTGCTGTGCTGTGCCGCGCTGTGCTTCGTTTTCTCTTTTGCCATGCGCAAACTGTAGTACATGTACACGCTGATTTGGTGCGTACGCCGTAAGCCGTATGCATGCACGAGCACGGGCACGTTTTGCTGAGGACAGCGATGATTCGTTTGGAGAGAGTTGGTCAAGTTTAGAGAATGGTGGTTATCTTCTTGCTCAGCTTAGGGACAGCTGTGGTTTTGTTTGCCTTTGCGTTTCCTGGTTTCATTCTCTGCATTTTTTAGTTGTGTTCCCAATGTCTGTATGGCGTTTTCAGTGTGTTAGTTCATTACATCAGAGGTTCGAGTAATTAAATTACACCGGTAATGGGCCATTCACACTACGCCCAAAACGTGGCGTACGTGACGTTTTCGTCCCAATAGCCATGGCAACATGGAACGTGGCGGGAAAATCGAGCGCCTGATACGAAAACGTAGACGACGTATCCAGACCCCAGTACGGACAGTCGTTCTGTCGTTCGCGGCAGTTTGTATCCTCTTTTTTCCTCCCGAAAAAGGCTGTTGCCTTCACTGGCTTCTGGCGGCCCCGGCACTGGCTCCACGTGGAGGAGTACTACCAAACCGGCGTCCCTGCTTGACTTCACTTCTTGCTTTCACTTCTTGCTTTCCCTTGCTGTCAGCAACGTGTCCTGCATTTTTCTCTTTCTCTCTCAGTTTTGTAAAACGGTCTCTTCATAGTGCAATCATGCCTGCCCGCTTTGATACAAACTCCGAACACCTGTTCATTGAAATTTGGGCAGATTTGATGTCGAGCATGGATAAAACTATGACCACAAGAGCTGCAAAGGAGACCAAGGCAACCCAGCTCCTCAACGATCGTCAGAAGGAGAGAATCTTCACAGTGCAGGAGGTTCATAATAAAATAGACAATTTGAAGAAAAAGGGCCGGGAGCTAGAAACAAGAACGGAATGAACATCATGTCGCAGGACATTGGTCCGATCTGACGACGGCGTGATGATTTTTGGTGGAAATGAAAGGGGATCGGCGGCACGGTGTCAGCTTTTGGAACTTGCTCCTGTTCGATGCTCTGATCTGGTGGCAACTGTCCCAAACCACGAAAGAGCAGAAGTGCCATCAAGGCATGCCCCTTGATGCTGGCAATATCCATATCAAAGAGAAAACAGAGAAGCAAAAGAGTAGGGCTGAAAGGAATATTCGAATTATTCGAATATTCGAAATATGCAAGGCGGAAAAAGAATATTCTTCGTTAAAGTAGAATAGGAATATTCGTAAATGTACAGAAATTCGCCTTTTTGACATCGATCAAGCTTATTTGGTGCAAAATATAAGTAGGCTTGCCTCTTTCGATGTGTTATAATCAGCAAGACAAATGATTTTTCAAATATCTCTCTTGCAATAGACAAGTTCGCCAAAGATTGTCTGGGTTCGAGACGGGGCAGGGGGCGCTCTGACCTGCAGCGTGGGATCGACATTTCAAATTTTTCCTGTACGAAATCAAATGTTTGTTCTCTCGAGTTCAGTTGTGTTTATTGGAATGCCTGCTGAGGATCACTGCTGTGTGTTCGACTGTTCTAACCGCCGTTCCAAGAGGCCTGACATATCGTTTCATGTCCTCCCTGCCGATCCTGACACTCGCGCAAAGTGGATACAGGCTGTGAAGCGGGAACACTTCGTAGTTTCTGCCAATACTGTCGTTTGCAGCGAACATTTTACACCTGAAAGTTTCTACCCGACTGTGTCTGTACACCAGCCAGGGGCGAAGAAACCATGTCGTCGAGTGAAGAAAGGGGCTGTGCCGTCCTTGTTTTCTTTCCGACCTCCGCCTCCGACCCCCAGGCTGTCACGCGCAGAACGGTTAGCTGTTGGTGCAGCTCGTGCAGCTGAGCTGGAAGCCCAAAAGCAGCTGCCAAAGCCAGGCGTTTCGGCTGTGGAGTTCAAGCTCCAAGGAGAGCTACGAACGAAGAAATCTAAGGTGAGGGAGTTGGAAGCTGAAGTTGAAAGTTTGAAAGCTGAAGTCACTCACCTTCGCTCACAGCTCTTCCGTTATGCCAATATATGTGACAACGAGGAGGAGATGGAGTTTCTCACTGGACTAAATAATGGGGCATGGAAAAGTCTGTGGTCCTACCTGCAAGTACGCCCAGGTGCAATCTTGAGTGAAAAATCAGCAGCAAGAGAGCAAGAAGGCCGGAAAATAGCTCGTGGCAGTGGCCGTGTCTCTATCCTGTCACAAGAAGATCAGCTACTACTCACGCTCATGCGTCTTCGCCTCGGCCGACTTCAAGAAGAGTTGGCTTATAGCTTTGGTGTTAGTGAGAGTGCTGTTTCATCGATACTGAAGATGTGGATCAGTTTCCTCTACCTTCGTCTTGCGATGATGCCTATCTGGCCGGAGTGGGATGATGTTGCAAAGTCAATGCCGCAATCGTTTAAACAATCATTTCCGGACACCTTCATCATCCTAGATGCTACAGAGCTACGCTGCGAGATTCCTAGCTCACTCTCATTACAGTCACAGCTCTATTCGTCGTACAAGTCCCATACAACGGTTAAGGGTCTTGTTGGAATCGCACCAAATGGTACTTTCACGTTTATTAGCCAACTCTTCACTGGCTGTATCAGCGACAAGCAGCTTGTGGTCGAGAGCGGTATCATTCCACTGCTCGACTCTGTGCCACCAGGCAAGCGCGTGATGGCAGATCGTGGCTTCGCAATCCAGGACTTGCTTGTTAAGCCTGGGCTCATCTTAAACATTCCTCCGTTCAAGGGCTCAAGAGCGTTCATGCCCAAGGAAGATGTTGTCAAGACACAAAAAATTGCCAGTGTTCGTATTCATGTCGAGCGCGCCATCGGCAGAGTCAAGTCAAGATTTCACATCTTCGACAAAGATATACCGTTGGTGCAGTTTGCTTCCATCAGCCAGGTCTGGACAATCTGCTGTTTGTTGAGCAACCTATCTGGCCCACTGATTGTGGAGTAAGGAGCTAGACGTTGCACTGCTGATCTAGTTTTGCATTGCCCACTTTTGCTGCCATCTGAACTAACACGATCCTCCTAAGTAGGTTACAGCATTGTCCACGTATGTTGCAACCATATTTCTTTACTCACTTCACTCACTTCGCAGAGCACAATGGCAACTCGCATCATCTTTGTAGCTACACCCTGTGTAACACCATAATATTTGACATGCACCCTCAGTTCGCATCCCCCTGCAGCCTGATGATGGCCAAGTGCCGAAACGTTGTAAATTAACTCTGTTGAATGGCAGCACAAGTTACTATGTTTAACGTATCTGTTCGCTTTCATGGCTTCCGCGATGGGTCGGGTCTGTGTGTGTGTGCTCGTGGGTGCGTATGTTTGATGACAACACAGATTTCACAAGTTGCTATGTTAAACGTAGCTGTTCGCTATCATTGCT